ACGGGAAGGAGCCTTGGAGAGGAGCCGCCATCAAGGTGGACCTGCCGGACAAGGCCTTTGAGGCCTGCTGGGAGAAGGTGGAGAAGAACGAAGGCCCCACTGGCTCCCTGGGTGGGCCCGCTCACGCCGGCACTGACGACCGCGAGGCGAAGCCATGTGAGGGGTTCGGGATCCTCCCTGAAGACCTGAAGATCCCCGTCGTGTTTCAGCCCTTGTCTCCTGCCGCCCCCGTGCAGATCCAAGACCCGCTGCCGCAGGAGCTGATCCATGTGACGAAAGCGCCGGTGACAGCAGTGCCGCTTAAAATGCAGCCTTTGCTAAGGCCTTCAGTAAAGACTGAAACTAAAAATGTTCCCCTCACAGTACTGCCCTCTGATTCAGGTATTACGTGGAGGGAGCTTGCAAGGGTTCAGTGAGTGGCACACAGCTGGCAGGGTACGGGTAGGAGTGGAAGGGTCGTGTTAGAGAGCTGTCCCTTTGGGTAGGCTGGAGTCTGTGCAATTCGCTTCTTCAGTGTAAGATGTAAACGTGCGGGAGCACAGTTCTCTGGTGGTTTGTTAAAATCAATCCAGTTTTGCCCACTTGCTCCCTGACTACATTAAGCCCCTTAGAACTGTTCAAAATTGCACCAGGTAGTGATTGCAAGTTTAAGGGCAGGAATCTGCTTGAATTTTCTAAAGCTAGGAGATATTCAGACACCTCTGAGAACATTTGGACATGTTAAATGAAGAACATTTTGAAACATCTGGATTAGAAGCTTACTTTTTTTGAAAGATAGCTAGGCTTTCATAATTAGTGCCTTAAAGTGAGGTCTTAAAGACTAGAAGACTTTTGCCCTTTATTAGTGATGCGAAAGTGTTCATTTCTAAGCCTTTTTCAGACAGGAAATTCCACACTCAGGGATCAGTTGTGATGGGCCTGGGGTTTCATCACATCACCAGCTCAATTTAATTTCAGTCTGTATTTACAAAGAGCCAAAGCTGGCTGTCGTGTAACAGTCATTTGGTAACACAGGTTCCTCAAGCGAAATGAGTGCCCGAATCTGAGAAAAGAGTGAGAGAGTCAAAAATACCCCAACCACAAAACCCAAAACAGCAACCTCCTCAGCTGAGAAGCCAGGGACTGCACAGGTGTGGGATGGAACTGCCACAGCATCATTAGACCTGGTCCCTGCATTGTCAGGGCTTTGGACACATAGTTCTGGTGGTGATGACAAATTTGCAGTGATATGGTCTATGCTGCACAATGTTTAGTGTATAAATTTGTAAGTTTATACATTCATAAGAAAATAATCTAGCCAAAAGAAATCCAAACCAGTGTGTTAGCGGTCCCATATGTTTCTTTCTTTCTTTTTTTTTTTTTTTTTAAATAATGTGTAGCAAAAGCCAGGTAAATGATTCCTTCTGCAGTGATTCAGTGAAGGTTAGTGGAGGATACTCCCTCAGCCTTTGTTATTTTTCTAGGAACTGCTCTCCAAATGTGCATTGAGTTTCATGTGTTCCAAAGCTCGAGTGATTCTTTTGGCTGTTGCCAAAAATCCTCTTGATGCACTATTGAATGTAACCTCTATTGCACATATTGCCTGGAAGATGATCAGCTTTCCCTGTTCTGTTGCGTAGGTATGCCAGATACTCCATTTAGCAAGGACAAAAGTGGCCATGTAAAGCGTCCAATGAACGCGTTTATGGTGTGGGCGAGGATTCATCGGCCCGCCCTAGCAAAAGCTAACCCAACTGCCAATAACGCAGAAATCAGTGTTCAGCTTGGACTGGAGTGGAGCAAACTGACTGAAGAGCAGAAGCAGCCCTATTATGATGAAGCTCACAAAATAAAACAAAAGCACAGAGAGGAATTTCCTGGTAAACAGTTTATTTACCTGAATGCTTTAGAAGTGCAAGATTTTTTTGAAAAATGCAGCTCTTTCATTAGATCAAGTAATAGAAAGAAATTACAAAAATTTCGAGCAGGCAGTCCTCCTGTCATCTTTCTAGTGCCTGAAAGCATATTATTTTTTTTTAAGCATCCAAAATGATGTTTCACCCTTCATAGCTTCTAATGTTTATTATGGTCTTAGACCACCACAGCTACAGCAGCTCTTCTGAATGCTTTAGCAGTCTAATGGCCAGATACTGCGTTTATTCTGAACATGGCCTGCTGCATCATTTTACATGCCCCAGAAAGAGCTGTCCAGGTGGCCTGTGGTGACACATGCATCCCACTTCTTAAGATCAGGAAAGGGAAATGCCACAGGAAGCACAAATGACATTGTATTCTGTGGGATTCTTCAATGTGTAGGCTCGAGATTCCCAAATAACAGTGTGGAAGATGTTGTTTCTCAGCCTTTTGTCAAAAGGGCTAAAAATTTGTACCCATAACAAATTCATTTCTCCATAACACTGCAGTTCAATGAAACAGAGCAGAAGTACTTTGAACACTTTTTAAAAGCTGTAGAGATACTAGGTCTTGTGTTCCTTTCTCTCTCTGTTGTCATAATCCTGCTAATTCATGATTATGGCTAATCCTGGTAGACAAGATCTGACTAATCTGTCGTAAGCAAGCAAAAAATGAGAGCAGCACTCTCCCTCTCTCCTTCCACCCTCCAAAAAAAAAGGGGGGGGGGCGTGCTTCTTTGAAGTTGCATTAAGAGTTAACCTGTGTAAGAAACTGAGCTGCTCAGAGTAAAATCATAACATGTTTATACATTGTCAGTGTTTAGTTAATGTTGTAAGTCAAAGGCGAACAGACTCCTCCAAAATCTGTACAGGATTCCCAGTGGGTCATATTTTCCATTGTCTCTTGTAACCTGCAGGTATGTATGAGGCTTAAGGGGTGAAGGAAACGATCAGGGAAGATGCACATTTTGAATATAGTCATGGTTTTCTTCTGCACTGAAAGCTCATGGTACAGCGTCATGTTCTTCTTAACATGCTTTCCTCAGCTGTGCCACGTCTCTCCCCACTCTGCTCTATTTCTTTGTCTCGCAAACAGTTACTATTTAGTAATACAAAACCAATGCCCAAATATGTCTTTTTTATTTCCATCTCTGATGAAATGACGCAGTTCCTAGCTCACTGAAACAAATGGAGTGTTGCCATTGACTACAGAAGCAGGTTTCGGCCTAATTATTTTTAGATACTTCAGAATTACAGCTATCATAGCTTTACGTAAAGAATGAGACCATCCCAGAAATTGGATGCCCGCACCTTTTTTCATCTCTGACAGGTTGGATTTATCAACCACGACCAGGCAAAAAGAAGCGTTTTCCACTGCCAGTCTCTGCTGTATTTTCCGGCACTTCTCAGAGTATCATCTCTACAAATCCATCTGGCATTTGTCCCTTCCAGTCACCTGCTTACTCTGTTGTCATCCCCAATGTTAAGAACAGTATTGGACATCCAGTCTGTGAGTTTTCAGTAGTGAATGATTTAAAAAATTTGGAATTTATCTGTTGTTGTAAAAGTTACACATATGGTAGCGTGCATATGGTTAAAGCAATTTCTCAGTCTTTCTTGACACCACTGTTTCTATCAATCCTCTGCACTGCACCTCTGCCTCCTCATCTCTTCTTACTGTTCCCTCAGCCTCTTCAGATCTTCTGGCTTCTTCATTGCCCACAGACCCCTGCTATTGTCTTTGTAGCTCCTGGTTACCTCCTGCTATCTCTTGGTCTTTTTGGATCTCCGTTACTCAACACTTGCTTCCTGTCAAGCTACAGCTGTTTCTTTTTCTTGTTCTGTCTCCACCTCGCACATAACTTACCTCACCAGCTGTAACTGCGCTGGTGCTCAGCCCGGCGCTACTAAGCCTGGAAAAGGTCATTTGCTTAGGCTATGGCACCTCCACCTAGGTGTTAGTGTCCCTTGGTAGGGAGGGCACCAGTGCTCTAGAGCAAACGCTCGGCAACTCAGACTGCTTGCAAGAGACAGCAGACAGAATTGTCAACAAGCTCGTCAGAAAGGAAGTTAGTAGGGCGTTGGGAAGGTGTGTGCTGCAGTATCAAAGCAGTCACTACATCTGAAAAAATTTTTTTTTTGTTTGCACATTTTCCATGAGTGGTTACTGAGGTATCTATGCACACCTGGACTAGTTCTATAGCTAGTTGTTATGAACCTGCACATGCCCACAGTTTAAGCATAAAAAGCTCAGCTTTTATAGAAGCAAAAATGTAGTTACAGAAGGAATACATTGAAAAGTTGTGCCTAACTGGAAGGATCCTCCTTTTTATAAGAAGTCAATATGGGCAGTGAAATAGGGTGTAGTATGAGAGCCCACAGTCAAGTGTAACAGCTGGCCTGCATGTTTTGTAGTGAAAGAGCTCTGGCTCTGTCAGTGCACGGATAGTGGATTTTAACAACAAATAGCTTAGATGCAGGCATTGGCATTTTTCTCTTTAAGTATACTGACAAGGGCTCCTCTCTTTATAATGAGACAAGAAAAGGAAATGCCTGTTTATGCTGCGAAGTAACCTCTGGAGATGTCAAAGAGAACACTCAGCTTTGTTCTGGTGAAGTTCTGAGTTAACGATGTGACCCTTTCTCAAATACTTCTGTAAATTTGACTGAATAAAGTACTCTTTGTTTTCTTACCCTAATATATTTTATAATGTTATGTTGTCCTCACATACTGCTATGTTTCTTTCCAGAGTTTACTATCCTATTGTGTTTGAAATGATTCTTAAATACAAACTGTAAAAATCTAGAAGCATTTAAGTCCTGTTGACTGAGAATTTAGGCTCTTAGACTAGGTACTGGGGTTTGAAAATACTTGTGCAATGTGTTTTGAAATCTTTCAGTATAAAGTCAGCCCTGTTGACAGGAGGTATGATTTGAAAACGTACATTCAATGTACAATGATTTGTTCTGCAAAAGATTTCACAGCGAAATTGGCTAGCAGGTGCACTCATTGGCGTAACAAATAAGAAAATGTATCGGAGAGTTGGGTGTATTAACTGTAGCATCTGGTCCTCACTGCTGCTTTGTCACCACACAGATTTGTTAAGAATTTGGCTCACTCCGACTCAGCTAGCAGACTTGGGAGGAGTTCTGAGCTTCAAGCACTAAATGCACCCTCCAGCCCTGTTCTGTGGCCATACCAGGACAAGACACAGCCCTCACCAGCCTCTCAGTCTCAACACTCACTAGCCAATTCCTTCTTCTTTCACCCTGGGGTTTCTGTAGAAGGAAACTTGAATGTGTGGGCTTCAAACCCATCTGTCAGAACATGTGTAGGCCAAGTGGTGTATGACTGTGAGTTGCAGGGATGTAGGAAAGTAATGCTGGGAAGTGTTTTGAGGGAAATGGTTCTGGCTCTGGCTGTGGTTTGTTATGCTGCTGTTTATGAAATCTCTTCCTCCATTCATGTCTGATAAATAACTGTTCTGTTTCTTAAAGGTGAGTCTCCTGCCATCCGTCTGCCGGCTTCTTCCATTCAACCTGCTGGTCCAATTACTCTTCTCCGGACTACTAGTGCAAGCACAGCATCAGTGGCTGTTCCAGCTCCAGCCCTGACCCTGCGCCCCATAATTTCACCACAGCACTTTGCCGAACCTGCTCAAACAGAAGCTTTTGGTGTATCATCTGGGCTCAATTGCTCTCCGAAGAGACCTACACCAGTTTTCATGGAGAGCTTCGGCAGAAGCCCAAGTAACATAACCAACGCTAGTGGCACGTTTTCTGTCCCTAACAGTGAGCCCCCAAAGGAGTGCCCAGGGGTTTCTGTTTTTCCTAGAGGGATACCTCTTCCCCAAGCTACCCCTTTTCTTCACTCACGTCTCTATGGGCCCCCTCCCGTTGGTCAGCCAGCCAGCCTGTTTGGAGTACCTCCTCGGTTTTCATTTCACCACCCTTACTTTGTATCTGGACCTCACTATTTCCCCTCAAGGTAATGAAACCCTTCATTTGAATACCAGTAAGAACAAATGCTAAAATGCAGAGAGTCTCTTAACTTATAGGAAGCAGATGGAGCGTTCAGAATGAAAGGTGCTCTTACCTTCCTGTAGCTTCTGTGTGGTGGGACCTGCTGGCCTGAGGCTGCTCATAATATATGCCCAGTTGTTGAAGGCACCATAGTATTACTGCAGTTGCTGGCACGCCCAAGTCCACAGGAAATAGAAGTATTTTCTCTCCACTTTATGCATTTAAGTGCAGTTGATTTCTAAGGAAAAGCATTAGGTAGAGATAGCGTAAATATATTTTGAAAATGATTGGATACAATTAAAGTAGGTGTATGAGGTGCCTCCTGGGTACTATGGTTGCAGCTGTCATAACTACCAATAATTCAGAAATCCAACCTGGTAGGAAATGTCTTCAGAATTCTTAACTAAGTAATAATTCCTAGTTTTTCCTTTGCATTCTCTGGGCAGTCAACCAGAGATCAAAGAATTTACAAGTAATATGCCATGGGTGTTTCCTAAGCTGAGCATGCATAGGAAGCACCAGTGCCCTCCCAGCAGCAGGCGTGCTGCTCAGACACAAGTCGTCTGATGGCCTACTGACACTTACTCTTTGTAAGGCATCGTTTGTCTTTCATGACTCTGCAATATCAGACATAACGAATTATTATGACTATTCAACTTAAAGTCTGCCCGTTTAGACACTGCTCATTCCTACTAATAACAACAACCAGTATGCTCCTATGGCAAGAAGATTAACTGGTCATATATTAGGGCTGACGATGTCCCATCAAACTCAAAAGAACTTTATTAGCTGAGAAGCACAATACAAGACATTTCTATTTTTGAGGTCCTTCAAAGAAACACAGGACACATGTTCACAAAATCGCTAAAGATGAACTTTGCTTAGCCCTTGGTCTCTGAAATTAGACAGTTTTCTGAGGCCTCCGAGGGAGAGGAGTGTTCTTGTACCCTAAAAGACTGTTCTGAGTTCACATGTTAATGGACTGAAAGCTGCCAGCTTTGCTATGCCAGGATCTTTCTAATATAATGATTTGTAAGTTCACATTCCTATAAACTCCTTTCTTGCATACAAGAATAATAACTTCTGAGTAGCATTGACAGAGCAAATGTATACGTGCAGATTTATGTGCTAGAAATGTAAATACTAGGTTGGGAAGATGACTAGTCTCCTTAAAACCGCTATAGACATTGTATCAATGTCTTTATAATGCCTGCCCCGTAGAGCTCTATTACTTCTTCACATACTTTATTTTCTTAACAATGTAGAGTATTTCTGTAACACTGTGTGAATTACAATAAGTGTGTCATTCTGCAGCAGAATAAAAATGCAAACTTCAGGCACCAGAGGAATACCCTTACATTTGACATAATAACTTCCTGCAATCTACTGTGTGGTTGCTTTTTAAAAATTTATGGCTGTACGTTCTTTAAATAGTAACATTGACAACATGTTGGGCACAAGGATTCTGTGTTAGTCCTCCTATTTAATAATAATGTAACAGATGCACTAGTTCACTCTAAAAAAGAGTGTTTTACCCTGTCACAAAGTTTGGCATACAGAAGTAGCACAAACTGACTTTTGATGCTTTGTTTTACTATTCTGAGTATGTCAGTTAACATACTGCAGGTTTATGAGATGCTGGTTTACCCATGGTATTATTTCATTGACAAATACTATGGGTTTTGTGTTATTTTCAAATCAACACCGTGAGTGTATCTAGTATGAAGAGGTGCATATGCACAGGTACGGAATCTGTGCACGACTCTTGTTATGTCCCCAGTGTTTAAATTAGGCATGGTTTTGAAGTATGCGTGTTTTGAATATTTCAACAGGATAAGCTGACTGACGTAGAACATTGGGGCTATTCTGGTTTTCTTAGCTGAATGGAAGTCTGGGCAATCTACATTTCTCAACGCCAACTTTCGATCTCTTTCATTGCAGCACATGCCCATTCAGCCGACCGCCATTTGGCTGTGGGAACTTCTCCAGCTCAGTGCCTGAATGCCTTGGCTTTTATGAAGACAAGTACCCAAGAGAGGAGGTGATGTTTTCAGCTCTGGATGGAAACTATCCTTTCAAGGAATGCTCAGCAGAAAGTATACACGAGGGCCGCGGCAGCTGTGAGGGCCCTGGAGTAGTGTCCTGCCACAGCAGCTGCAATGAGGAGCGGTATTTGAGCCCCCTGCCACAGCTGGACGTCGGAGCATTGCAGGAGGTTTTGTCACCCCCAGCCACTCCCTCCAGTGTCCACCTCATCAATGTAATTGACAGCGACGAGGAAGAGGAAGTAAAGTTGTTGCAAGAATTGTAATTTTGAAAACAAATCGTAATCCAGAGAAATGTTATAGAATGGGAAATAAATGTTTTCTTCAATTCTGTCTTTTCAGTCAGTGTGTTTGATGAAAATCCCGTGTAGCTTGAGCGAGCTGCGCACGTCTTTTTGAAGAGTCTGATGATCTGTTCGTATTTTGAGAGATCACACAGAGATCTGGGGAGGTCAAAAGCCTCTGGAGTTTCGCCTGCTTCATCGGGGCATTGCTTGGGCTCTGGCTCAGGAAAGCACTTACACAGGAATTCAGCTCTAAGCATGTGATAATGTGCTTTCCTGAGGAGACGCGTGTTTAAGCATATCCTTTTAATGCCAAAATAAGCATTTTGATGGTATTTGCCATAATTTTGTAGGTATTACTTTAGGAGTTTTAGCAAGTAAAATAGTTCTGCTTTAAGACCGTAATGTAATTCTTGCTGCAGTAAAACAGTGTGAGGCCTGGAGAGTAAAGTCAAGAATATTCTGTAATGCTTTATATTTTTCTTTTGATGAGACAGTTTTAAGCTTAATTTGGTTCATTTTTAACTGTAGCTTGTATTTGTGGTACAACTGAAAATTCACATTAGTTTCAGTAATACCTTGGTCTGCAACCAGTTCCATTAATAAAAAACAGGATTGTCCAGAAGGTGTGGTGAGGCATGGTGACACCCAGAGAGAGGAAAATGGATGGCATCTGGCTCTGTGACTTACAGTGGGCTGTGACTTGATCCCTGAGCATAGTTAGCACTGTAAAGAATTCTCCAGAGAATACCAAATTCTCTGAAGAATATCAAAGGCTTTTAATAGAGACAGTATCTGTGCCAAACTCAGAGAGTAATGAAATTAAAATTTTTTTGGACAAAATTTGTCATTTATGTTACTAATACTTTATTTTCTCCCCTGTTTTGTGAAACAAAGGGTCATTTTCTTCTGACAGTTCTGACATTTTGCTGTTGTTGTATTTGAATAAACTCACCTGAGCAACGTATCCCTAGTGCTTCATTTTAAGCCGTGGACATTGAACTGAGTGTGTAACTCACAGGCTTACCGTGCAGCTAAGCTGCACATGTCTGGAGTGGTGAGCTGAAGTCACTTTTTCAGACAATTTGGGCTACTAATGGAAGTGTATATATGTGTGTGTGTATTTATATTCATAATTATGTAAATATGGGAAGAGCTGAAAGCCATGGATGGAGAAGTACATCCATGCTGGGCTGCCAGAGGATGCTAAGCAATGATTCCAAGGAACCTAGGTTGACCATCTCACATAGGACATCCTGTATTTGATGGGTTATCACACTGAATCTGTTGGACCCCGAGCGTCCTGTCGAACCTCAGGCTTAGACCCCCCATGTCCATGGAGACTGCATTATTGATAAAGACGGCTACAGATGAAATTTCCATAGGCCTCAAAAGCTAGTCCTAAGCCAGTGCAGAGTAGATATCATCTGGGTTCTTTGTGTTTTAAGTTTTCAGTCTTACATCAACATTTTCACGCTTTTCTGCTTCTGTGGGCTCACAAGTCCATTATCCAAGTCCAAGATCAAAATCTTTCTTTGAGAACTACTGCATTTGGTAGCTAAAGAACACAAAAACATAAGCAAATCCTGTCTACCCTACACATTGCAACTGTGCTGTAAACAGGCCCCTGCTCCCACCCATCTGCAATGCAGATGAATCATTAGGAGGAAAGTCTTATAAATAGTAGAAAATGCCTGTTCGTTTCTAAATTTTGTTCTCACTGAAAGCTGATCTGGCCTGCAGGAATGCATGTGGTCAAACGTACTAGTTCCTACACAAGCATGTTTCAGGGTATAAAACAGCTGTTTGTGGGATTATTCTCTAGCTCTAACTTCCCTCCCATTTTTCTTTTTATACACTATGGAGTAGGATATCAGACATATTGCAGGCACCAGAATCTAGCGTGGTTGCTTGCCATGAGTAATACAAATTTTCTTTCTCTTATACAGGGATGTCCAGAACTGTTTGAAAGGAGGTGCCTCAGAGCTGCTCACTTGTACCCGGTGCTTGTTGTGAACCCGGTGCCGATAGCTCTGAGTGAGCTTCAGCAGGTTGAGGGATTCGGCGTTTGCCGCACAGCATCCATCTCTTAATGGGACCTTTGCTGTTTGCTCAGGAAAACACAGTATTATATCCTCAGTGGAAATCTGCTCTGTTTAATACCACAAAGGCCAGAAGAAAAGACTGAGGCTTAACACATCCTGGAAATATCAACACGAAAGAAAACAGAGGGCTGATCTCTCCTTCGCTTCTAGCTAGAGCCTGAACCGATCACGTGGGATCGTTACGGGCAGGTCTACAGCATTGGACCCAGCCTGCAGCCGAGCTCTCTTGGAGACTATTGTGTCTTGCCTACAATAGGAGTGAAAATTATAGGACCACCCCATCCAAACCTGGCTTCCTCCGAATCATACGTTAGCATGCTCTGGCAGCCCCACACAGGGGAGTTCTCTTGTGATGGGAGAGGTTTTTAGCTCCCCTTTCTAGGTGATTTTTCAGCCCACCTTCAAACTTATCTCCTGAATTTGTATTCCTGAAGCGCCAAGTATCTGCGCTCTGATTTCTCCCCTTGTGTGCAGGGGTCATCGGCAGGGCCGGTCCCTCAGCAAGTGTGTGCTCTCCTGCCAGCGTGCTTCATGGCAGGGCAGAGGGTACCTGAGACATCAGAGAGACACATTCTACTCTACGATTTTTTTTCCTTCTTTCTCTGCTGTTTACCTTAATCTAAACTAAAAATCACCTCACATGCTTCTCAGCTTGAAAAACAAATCAGATGCAAAGATTTTCCAAACAAAGTTTTGCTCCTGCTGCTGTAAAAGTCTGAAGATATTTAGTCTTCCCACTGCATCACTGCTGGTGGCTACCCCTTTGCAGAGACGAGTTTCTTCTCAAAGTTACTGGACAGTTTGTGAATTGGGCGATATTAAAAGCCTTGCGCAGTTGTACCCGTTTCTTTTCTCTTAAGAGAATAATCGCTATTGTGTTGGAGAAGTTTGCAGGCAGCGTGGAGAGGACTACAGTGCTTTACATGTACAAATACAACCAAAAAGATGCAGCGTGTCTGCATGTACAATCTTCCACCATGAAGTTCACTCGCCTGTAGGAATGAAGCAAAAGCAGCAGCAGTGACCCACCCTTTAAAAAAAGCATAGAGAGTGCTTTGATATTATTTCACTGCCAGCGCATCGGGACAAGCCCGTGTCTGGTACCTGATCATCTTACAGCACTTCGCCCTCTTCGGCAGAGCAGCTGCTCTAGGGCTCTTCCAAGTATTCCCGCTGTCCTGCATGGGTGGTGGAAAACCAAAGCTAACCAGAAGGGTCTGGGTCAGCCGAAGCTGTTGTCAGTTGTTAAGACTCCAAATAATGAAGTTCACTGTTAAATCACCACTTCCTGTTACAGGTTCACAGCCTTCCTCCTTTGATCATTTCGAGTGATCTGAAGGAGAAAAACGTTCTGCAGAACGGAAGATTCCACATTCCACTCAGGTGAGCCAAAGACACAAAATTTCTTTCGTTAGTGTGACTGTCTGAAATGCAGAGGTCAGGCAGGACAAAAGGTCTTCTACCTTCTCCTTCTAAGACTTTGATCCTTGGTAACATTTTCTCCACTGTCAGAAGGATTCTTTTCAGAGCAGTTCATTCAACAACCTTTCCCATTTCTGAAGAGAGAGTTCCAACAAAGTATTACTGAGCTTTTAGTCTCACGTGTGTCTGAGTCGTTCTCCACGTAAGTCTGGTTCTTTAGCAGGCATTCTTCTCTGCAGGTCTATCTTTCTGTTTCCTCCTAGGTGGCTAACTCCTAATTTACTCTGAACATAATGGAAGAATTATCACCTTTTGCTTTCCAGCTAACAGCAACAGTGTTAAACCATCTTGCAGACTGCCCAGTAAGTGCAGAAACCCCACTACAGAGGCATTCGCATCAGCTTTGCCCTGGGGACATGGAAACACCACATTTTCAAACCTAGTAAATGACCCCATGCACCGACACTGACACGCGCTCTGGGTGCTGGGTGGAGGCTGCAGCTGGTGGGTATGTCCATCCCTTGATCACAGCAGATGGAATAGATAAGGGAACAGAGCACAGACTTCCAAATTCCCGGCTGATACTTTTGATCAGGCAGTTGAGATCCTGGAGGAAATGAGTCTGAGTCTGTGTGATTCCTAGATAACCGAAAGCCTGACCTTGCTCTGTGAATCAGGCAAATGTCCCATTGACTTCGGTAAGAACTTTTCGAAGAGATGGGTACAGGCAGGATCTGACTCATCCTGTGCCAGAGGCAGGTAGCATTACAGCGTCTGAGTGCTGTTAATAACGTTAAAATATCCTGAATCTTTCCATGCAACAACGTCTCAGCAATGTAAGTGATATATCATATATAGAGTAAACTATATATAACAACTGCACATCTGTGGTTATATTTTTATAGAGGGAGTTTCTGGTGATTATAAATTAAGATATCAATTCTCATATTACCAAGATCCAAAGATAAAAATATCACTATATAACAAATGCAAATATTGCATGTATTTCATTTTTATGATACTTGAATGCTGACAAAAATCACAAGCAGATAGTTATTGGCCTAGGTATTTTAACAATCTTATAATAAGGCTCCTTTTATTCAATTTAATGCTTTTATTGAGCTGATCGTCTTTTAGAGAGATATACGGAGCAGTCCCTGTGAAAATTTGTTGTACTGAGAAGTTTGGTGACTCTTTCAGTGTAAATATACATGTTCCTTCTGAAAGTATTTTTTTCCCTTGGGTAGACAGTAATTTTATGCAGCGATTAAAGCAGAATAGCTGAATTTCTGTCTAAATTTGGCTTACATTTTTACTTATTTATAATAAAGGCATCAACAATAGTGCCATCGTTTTCTTCTGTATTGCAGGCAGCTATAAATAAATTAGAGGGTTCACAAAAAATTTGAGGTTTCCCTTCGGGATACTCCATATGATTAGAAAAGATTTGAAATC